TTTTATAATTATAATTGGATTTTACTTTTATATACTGAAAGAGGGATATTGTGAATATTTATAAGAAGTGTTGCATAAAATTGATAATATAATATATCATCCAAACTTCATTTAATATTTAATTGTTTTGCATATTTTTATTAAAATGCTGCACCCTAATTTGTCTTATTCAGCTTTTAAAATTCTAAATAGCTATCTAATAGTAATTTTATAAAAATATTAAATCCGTAAATTTAAAAATATTTACCTTTTTGTCCAACCAAGTTCATTTTTGTTCATTATTATATTAAAAATCAATTGTATGATTTAACTACTTGCTGCTTTTCAAATTATTAAAAATTTTGAGTATAAGATATCGATAAAATTTAAACGTAAATTTCTTTCCTAAAATTTTATAATATTTTACTCAATTATTTAGACCTATTAAAAGTGCCAATTTTTATTTATTTAGTGGCCCTCAAACATGAAAAAATTAAGCTCCCATCCAATTTTATATCAGGAATACCTGCTACTTCATAGCCGCTCTACTGACTGAATTTCTAATGTAATTAATATTCATATCACAGCAGGCCCGTCATCATAAATATCATTTAATAAGTTAAACAATGAGAAGATATATTCTTATTCGTCTCTTATAGTACCTTTAGACGTTAAAAAAACTCGGACTGGGTTTGTAAAATGAGGAGAAAATTGGACAGCTTCTTAAAAGGCTCAGAATTCTAATTCACATTTGGTAAACCATAAAATTAATTACAATTTAAATTTTTCAGCGGCAATAAAAAAAAATGTTTTAAAAACATCTGCTGCCGCCTATATTTATTTTATTTTTGACAATTAATTTTGAAAAATATTTTGGATTAAATTTTTTTTGGATGCCACTTTTAAATTAAATTGATTTTAAAATTAGATAAATATTTTAAAAAATTTTTTGTTGGAATTATTTGACATCCTAGTTGACCTTTAATTTTAACTCCGATTCCACTATCATTACCAATTCAATTTTCAGGTATAGTACCCTTTAAAACTTTATAATTTTTACGGTTAATATTTTACATAATTATTATAATGGCTATTTTTTTTTGTTAAAATTATTGAAATAACTTTAAATACATACTACTTTTATCCCAGTCATATCTTCAAAAAAAACCTTTAATTTGCTTTGGACCAGTTGAAGTTCAGCTTAGAAGTGTATAACTTAGGGGTTTTAACACGTCCAACTGTGTTATTTGGGCGAGCAGGAGAGTTAAAACCCACCCATTCCAGACCTCTAGCTCTTCCTCACCTCTTTAAGATTTTTTGCTTGCCATCTGGTCCTACCACTTTATACAAAATAATATATTATTGCATACATTCTCGCCCTGAAATATCCAAAAGCTTTCTTTTTAAACGCATGGGCTCTCTGCCACAATTTACTCGCGTATCAAATGAATCTGCTGTCATTGGCTATTAATATGAGTGCTCTGCTGGATTGGCTATTAATATTAGCGCACATACTCGATTTAGAAAGGATATAACAGTAACAATTTGTTGTGATAAACAACAATCTAATAAAAAAATTAGAGTAGTAAATGGTAACTAGAGCTCTGCAAATGACTAGGTTTTAACCAATCCACGCACGCTCATACTACAGGTGGGCAAATTATAAAATTGTTTAAAAAAATTTATAACAGTGTGAAGGCGGGTGGGCAAATTTGAAATATTATTCAGGCAAAATTAGTAGAACAGACTTTAATTTTTAAATATAGCGCAGGTGGGCTGGCGGTACAGAATTTTTAATAAATATGCTAGTGGTTTTTTAAAATGTGCTAGTGGTTCTTTAAAACAATGGATGAGCGTGTTAGAGTTAAAAATCCGCCCATTGCAGACCCTTAGTGGTAATATTAATTTATAATTTTTTTATTCATTTATATAATTGCAAAATGATTACATGTATATGCCCCATTTTTATTTGCCAGACCTGAAAACTTTTACTATTGTTCAAAATTTTGCTTCATATTTATTTTATATAAATATATAATTGTCAAATTTAATTACCTAGTTTATTCTAACTACCTTCTTGTAATTGAAAATATGAATTATTGAATTTTCAATTTTCATGTACTATTTTTATATTTATTAGACAATGTAGGAAGTATTTATTTAGAAAAATAAGTCTAATTACTATTTTTATATTTATTAGACAATGTAGGAAGTATTTATTTAGAAAAATAAGTCTAATTTTTTTAAAATATTAATTATCAATGAATTTATAATTTAAATATCACCACGGATGCAATATTAATTTATTTGAATTTGTCAATTTATACATTATTTTTTTATTATTAGACCATGTAGGAGCGTATTCATATCCAAAAAAGTCATTTTTTTTGTTTCAATATTAAGTTGGAGATGTTTTTATAATTTTGGTGTCAAATTTCACTACGATGTAAAAAAAGGAAGGTGTTTTCTGGTAAGATTATGTTTTATGAGCCATAATTACCATTGGCTATCTCTTATTTATTTATGTCATACGATTGGTTGAATTTTATTTATTTAAATATTTTTTTGTTGAATGATATTTTTATTATCGAAAACCATTCGTTGTTAATTTTTACACATATTTATTTTTGAATATTTTTATTATAGACAATTATTTACCTATTTTTTGTAAAAAGATAAATAAAAATGAGATGGACAGGATAAAATTTAAATAAATAGAAGGGCAAATTGGGTAAAAATTCTTTATGGATTATTAAGATGCCGTGCAGCTTTTAACAGACTTTTCTCTCATTGGTCACTTATATCATTACTTATTTATTTCTAATTACATATTATCTTAGCATATAATTAAATACTTGACTCTTTATTTAAAATATCTATTTTCAAGTTTAAAATATAAAAATATATATTCTAAATATATTAAACTTATATTTTCTCTCTTCTTTAAATAAATATATGTTGCTTTGTAATCTTCCATAAATTGGAGCCTACCAGATTTAGCATATTTTCTTTTGAGGTCACGCCATAGACGCTCTATGTACTGGGTATTTATGCTTCTATTAACCGGGTCCACAAAAAAATATTATATTATTTTCAAATAAATATTTTAAACATTTAATCTCACTAATAAAAAAATGTAAAAAATTCATTTAAAAAAAAATATTTGTTAAAATTAACAACCAATGGTTTTCGATATAAATATATCATTTAACAAATATTTAGCAAAAAAATACTTTAAAAAAAATTAATAAAATTCAACCAATCATATGACAGATAAATAAATAAAAAATAGCCCTTAGTAATTATGGATCACAAACCATAATCTTACTGTTTTGCTTTATTAATTATTTTTTATTCTAATTAATTCCCACGCCAATTAGATAGCGAATATGATTTTAAATTTTAAGAATTTGTCGTTCATGCTTATTTCAAAATAATTCCACTGCTGAAAATTTATAAACTAAATATTTTCTTCAATATTTTATATTCATTAGGATAATTAAATTAAAATTTAACTTTATAATTTCGAAAAATATTCTTTCGCATGCAAAGCTAAAATTCTTAGTTGAGAATGATAAATTTATTAATATCAAAATTCGTAATATAAAAAAGGATGACCTTTAAATGATAGTTCATTAAAATATCTAAATTATATAAAAAAAATATTATGCAAATACTTTTAATGAGTATTAATATTATCCTAAAACTAGCAAGATTATCTCAAAAGAATTATTTTTTAAATCATAATTAAAACTTATTTTTTTTATTTATTCCTTTGTTTTTGTCGATCTTCGTTTCAGCCAGCAAGCATAAAGTAAAATCTGTTAATTAATTTTAAAAAAACGATTAACTCAATAGAAAAATATTATGCAAGCCTGAAGATTTTGTTCATAAACGGCACAAAGTTTGGATATCTATCAGCGAAATCTCGAGGTATTTTTATGGCTAAAAAAATGAGTTAACTGTTTTAAAAAATCGGCACATCGAGCTGTTTAACAACACTATTTTAGAAACTTATTAAATTTTTAGATGACAACGTGTTAAAATAGCTAATTAATGTTGCTTTTTTGCATAATATTTTTTTTATATAATTTAGATATGAAATTATTTATAAATAAAAAAAAGTATATGAATATATACAATCATAAAATAACCAAAACAATATCGGATCGGTTTTTTGAAAATATCGGCAAGCCCTATTATATATATTGAAGTGATAATTTTTATTTAAAAAAAACTAACCAAATTGAAAATATCCATAAAGAAAATAAAATACATAGTTTATTTTTATAAGGATATTTATGATTTTAAAACTAGATAAATAGTCTTTATAATAATTTTTTATATTTATCATAAATATACTAGTTGTGATTCTCTACTTTCTACACTATAGAGAGACTTTCGGGGCAAAAAAATTACGACATTATTTTATATATTAAATGATATTACATTGATAAGTATAATATAATTGAATAAATATTAGATAGGTTAATTAAAATTTACTAGTGGTAATATTTTAAATGAGATATATTATGCTTATGGTAACATAGATGATGTGGTTCACAAGTCGATGGACACATTAAAAAATTAAAATATTAAGTATTCATAATGAACAAAATCAGATTTGTTATATCGGATCAGTAATCGGCCAATATCGATTTAATATCGGATCGGCCCATCAAAAGTGGTATGTACACCCCTAATTCAATGTATTTAATATTATGATTTCTTAATTCAGTTGATCCTTATTTCATTGATTTATAATATAAATTTACTATGTTGAACTCGAGTAATTTTCTCTTGTTGCCAATTTTTAACTTACACCTGAGCCATATTTAATAAAAAATAAAACTTGACACAATGGAAATTACGTTATGATATATTTGACATTTGTAAAATGCTTGATTAGGAAGAACAATGATCGTTTATAAAATAAGTTAAATCAGGATACTTTATTAATAATAAATAAATTTTTGATTTTTATATATAGGATAATTTTAAAAATTTAAAATGATATGAAGGTCATAGCGCTAGCTCAATGGATTCCTCCGATAGCCACGAATCTCCCGCGATTCAAATGTACGATGACATGATATCCGATCCATTGTCCAAATACCATGATTTAAGCCAAAAAATAGGTGGGCCTGTCTCGCAACAAGTAAAATTGATTATTTGATTTATTTTTATACGTTTACTTTTTATTGAATGAATAAAGGCTGAATTAGTGATGATTTGCTTCAACTCATTGAAAGAAATATTGAAAATGGCTTCTCATTCCAAAGCTCCTCCAGAAGTATTATATATTATATTACTAAATGCGAGATACTATGAGATCTTGCTTAGACCCAGATCGTTAAAAATTTTTGACGTCAGTCAAGACTAGGTTTGTACCGATACCGCTTTTTAGAGGTCTTAATTTTTAATGCATACATCTAGTGTTGCAAAATCCTCTATTTGAGCCGATTTTTAAAAATGACTAACACACTATTTTATCCAGAAAAATATTACGCAAGTTAATATTTATCTCATAAATGGCACAAAAATTTGGACATTATTAGCGAAATTTCGAGACTTAGGCAATTATCTTTTGAACAAACTATTGAGTTAGCCTATTTAAAAATTGGCTCAAATGGAGCGTTTTGCAAACATCTATAATTTAACTATACCAAAACGTAAATCATTTAAATATATTATGATGATTATATAGAATTTAAATTCATGAATCTAAAAGTTATAAAATATTTTTATTGATAAATCACTTATTTATATAATAACATTAATCTATTTACATAATAATTAACAAACAGATATTTCATGAAATTTGAAATTAATTTTTTTTAAAAATTAAGACCCCATTTTATCGAATCGGAAGACTTTATAATATTGATTTTAAAAAGAAGATATCCGCCCTATCCGATAAAAAAATATCGACACATCCCTAGTCAAAACATAACAATTATACTAATCAATGCCTAATTATTAAAATTTAATTTAATAATATTAAAACACCAAACCAATCAATCATACTAACTTTCAAACATAACCTTAAACTTTAAGAGGTTGATTTCAAGATAAGAAAGTATCCTGAGTTCTCCTGAGCCGGTGCAAACCAGCGGGGTGCCACGTCTCAGTCAAGGTATCTAACCTCTGAGCGATATCTGTCACTCCAAAACATTCGTTTTTCCATATATAAATATAATTTAAGTTATTATTAATTATTTTATGAAAAACCTATCTTAAGAAAAATAACATCCGATCCTTATATATTATATATTATTACCCAAAAATTTTGAGACCTCCCTCCCCCTCAATTGAGATTTTCCTTTTACTATGCTAATTCTAGATATAATTTCCATGATTTTTAATAATTTAAAAAATTAGAAATTTATTAAGTGCCCCCCCCTCTCTGGAAAATCTAGCGCACTGATTAAACCTGTTTTTGTTGATCCGATCTGAACAAACGATCTGAACAAATTTCAGATTTTTGATCTAGTCCCGCTCGGTTTTAAAAAATTGACCTCGAATTCGTCTGATGTTTCCACATAGCTATTAATATTAACTAAAAAATTTATTTTTATTTTTTTACAGGACAAATGGAATCAAATAACGCATCCTTTGATAAGCAAAATACAACAAGTCATAGTAAATAATTTTTTAAAAACATTAGATGTGTAATAAATTGGCTTGTATATAAAAATACAGGAAATAGCTGAAGCTAACAGATCCAGTCCTCTGTTCAATAATTTGTCTGTTGTCAGCAATTCCATTCCCGCTTTAGGGTGGATCAATATTGTAAGTTTTAATTTTAAAAATAAACTTGTCAATTATTTGATCATCTCCCATTCATCAAGAAAATATTTAAAAATTATAGTAAACTAAAAATTCAAAAATTTTTTTGTGGAATATATATTTCATAGTGAAACCACAAATTAAAAATTATAAATCATCAATTTTATTATCTTCAAAAATTTTTTACTCAAAAGTTCGGGACAATAAAGTTTCTTTTTTCAAACTCTGTTTTAGTTTGATAGACCATTAATTTTTTTTGAATTTTTATAAAAATGCCAATGAGATTTATTTTTATTAGAACTTTAGTTTTATATTAACATTACTAAATTATGAATTATTTTATAACTAATTTTAATTCATTTATCCATTTTATATTTTTCAACTTTAAGAAAAACACCCCTGCTCCTTATATTAAGGAGATGCACGATTCTGGAACATTTTATTCGAATAAAGTGATCATGGAGCATAAAGGAAAGTATGTTTAAAAAAATGATTTTCAACATATTAATTTTTTTATGCTATATTTAGTAAAAATTTTAGTCACTAAAAAAAATTTATTATTATTCAAACTAAAAACGGGGGAAATGTATAATACATGATTATTGTGCAAACAATTTTTTAGAAATTTTTACATTAATTTATAATATTTAAATGAAATTTTCTATAACAAAATCAAATAAACAAATGTCCAAAATTCTAAAATTTTTATAATCGGTTGATTTGAAAGCAATCTCGTGTCAAAATTTTAACAAAAAATGATAGTGAGCATAGTTTTGACAAAATAAATCTTAGATAAATGATAAATAATCCAAACATTACAAAGACCCGTTTGTTTAATAATCTTAACATTTTGTTATCTAAGATGCTGATGCCACTTTTTGCCGACAGTATGTCTTTGATCTAAATTCTGCTATAATTTTTTTAAAATTGTTTTTCATTTACTTCTGTCTAGATAATCCTAAGCTTGTTCCTCCATTTTCTTTAAAAAAATCGGGCTCTCTCTTCGCCGATTTCCATTTTAAGTTATCTCAGTTCAGTCTTAAATTTTGTTACAGTAAACAAATTTTTTATTAAAAAAAGTTCTAATAAAGTCCAAAAATGATATAATTAAATATTCTTGAGACAAATTATCTCGTTCATTAGACCCTTTTTTGTAAATATTAACAAAATAGCATATTGGAATAATTTTCTTTAACCAAGGGATCCCATCATATTAGTTATCTTATTGTATAATTTCCTTTTTTATTCGGGAAAACTATTAATATTTAATGTTTATCCGGATCATCCTTAATTTGATGCTAGAGCTGTGTCGATCCACAAATCCAATCCGATATTTACATTTTTTTATTTACCACTAATCTTTGAATTAATTAAATAACTTATTATAAACTTTGTACAAAACAAGACATACTTTTAAATTTTAGGTTACTCGTGGCCAAGGTGATATTTATTGCATCATCATGAATGATTCAGTCTATTTTTTTATTCCTCAAATGTTAATTATCTCATTTAAAATATTGTTAATGTTTAGATCTTGTCCTGGTTCAACTTATTACTAAACAGCTGGCTATATAGCTTCGGTTAAACACCCTAAAAAGTAAGAAAAAACAAAAATAAGAAAATTAAGAATTGCTACCAAGCACTTAAAACAAACCAAAATAATGTATCCTAGTTCAAAATCTATATAGATTAAGCTAAACAGAGATATCAAAAATAAGTGAATCAGGACACGGCCTTATGGCTGAATCGAAATTTGTTTTATTAAATATTTTTAAATGCTTTTATCTATTTATTATTAAGAAATTATGTATAAAATAAAAGGTATTATTTATATACAGGAATGAAACTAAATATACAATACTATCGGATCTGGTTTTTTGAAAATATCGGAACGATTTTTAAAACCTGTAAATATCGGTTCCAATCTGATATTGTTGATGCAGACCTGTATTTTATTATATTGCTTATAGGAGTATCATATTCCTGTCGAAAAAATATTTATTAGGTCCTCTTAATACAACCGAGGGTAGTTGTTATAGGTTTTACAATCCACTTCAAACTAACTTCATCAATCACAACTGTCATTCATCTAATCGATAGACCCTTTTATTCATTAATAAGTGTCGTCTTCCTGTTATTTATACATACTTATATAATCTGTTATAATAGCCCCCTATCGATAGGTTACTCCCTAGATCAATGAGCAGCATTTTTTTAAAATTCGCCTTTGGCCAATAACGGAAAAATAATGCTGATTTAACAAATTTGATTATTTGAATATTTTTTAAAAAAAACTGCCCCGGCAAGGACCGCGCAGAGAATTTTATTTTTATATCAAATTAAATTTAAACCTGACACAATTTTTTTAAAAATCTAGGTCCTGGTCCGACAAGCCACTTGCAGAGCTTTATACCCGGCCCTCTTTATATACTGATGAAATTTGGTATACAAACGAAAGCTCATGTAACTTGGACAAAATCATCTTCTATCTTATATTTTTTTGAGATATTAGGGGTCAAAATAAGAAAAAATGTCTAATTTGACTCTTGTCGGTAGTGATCTGCATCGGGCCTAATTTTTCAAGCCCGGCCTGGCCCTAAATTTTTTTAAAAAAAGTTTCGCTAACCCGGCCCAAACGAAATTTTTTAAAAAGTTTTGCCGGCCTGGCCGGAACCCGATTTTTTTTAAAAAAAAATTTAACTACCTGGCCCAGCCCGAATTTATTTAAATATAGAAATTAATTTTTATAATTACTCAAAATAAAAGACATATGTTATATGTCGTTTAGTTTCAATAAATAAAATCAAATATTTTTATTTTACATAAAAAATTCAATATAAAATTAATAACTTAAGATATATTTAAAAAAAATTCCAAGGCCAGACCCAACCCGGCCCGAATTTTTTTAAAATATTAGGCCCGGCTTGAACTCGATTATTTTAAATATAATTAGGCCCGAAGCCCGTCCAGGCCGGGTACAGGTCGGGCCTAACTTTGCAGATCTCTACTTGTAGGTTCTTCGTTCAATTATGGATTTCCTATAAAAAAAATTACCCAATTAAAATGATTAATCTAATATCAAAATAAAGCGTATATATATAGTAATACCTTGGATTTACACCAAAATCACTTTTTTAAATAGAAATCTGTTTCGGGCCGGGTTTGACGGGGACAAATAATTTTTCTTTTTATTTCCCTCCAGCCTTATTTGCGTCAAAAATTATGATTATTTTCGGAACTTGGCTAGAAAAACCATGTGGTTTCAACTTACATACCCAAAGATAAATGCGAAAACGATGAGCAGCATAATATATGTGACCACATGATAATGGCATTAATAAATGTATTTTTTTTATAATTGGATAGTTACTAGTAACTCAATAATTGAATGACCGACAAGTGCCAGACTATGCCATTTCTTATCTTGATCTATATCCTGATATTCCCCAAAATAATAAGAACTAAGAAACTTTGCCCAATTTTAAATTTATACCTTTTTATTGATCGATTTGTCATGAAATCTTTAATTATTTTTTTTTTAAATTAAATTTTCATAAAAGATTAAACCCCTTTTATTTATCGCTTTTTAAATTAAGAACTTCTCCTCATATTGATTGGGGGAAATCCTGGAATGAAGTTTTAACTAATTTGTACAATTACGTCAAGAAGACTAACACTACCGGGCTGAAATGGAACGATAAAGTAATTAACAAATTATACTATAAATATAAAATCGAATAAATCTTTAATAATATATATTCTCTGATAAGTTTATTATGATTTATAAAAAAGTCTAACCTTAACTTTTTCAATATAATTATTTAACTTAATATCACACTTTCTAACGTCTTAACTTTATAATACTTATTCACTAAAACAATACTGTTATTGTAGAATAATAAAAAAAGTCATAAAAGTTTTTATTACAAGTCAAAAATTTTTTTTCAATTCATACAAAAATTATCGAATGAATAATAAATATCAAAATATATTGATTATTAATTATTTTCAATTATCCTTTGTTTTTACATTCTACCAATCAACTATGCTTGTTGATTGGCATTTAAACAAATATTTTAACTTTTATACATCAAGCATAAATTAAACAAAAGTTATGAATAAATTAAACAAAGAATATGAATAAATTAATCAGAAATTAGGACAATTTACAGAGACAAAAACTTTTGGTGATCATTTTTAGCTTAAAATGTTCTAAAATTGAGCATGAATATATTTACTTTTAGCAATAAGCTACTTTTCTATTGTGGAGATCTATGTTGTAGAAGGGTCTATAGCATTTATTAAAATTTTTACAGAAACAAAAACTATTAGTTGATTTTAAAATGTTTTAAAATTGAGTATGAATTTATTTACTTTTAGCAATAAGATACTTTTCTATTGCGAAGATCTATGTTGTAGAAGGGTCTATAGCATTAATTAAATTTTCTATTATCTAAAATTTTATAGTATTAACTCTTAACAACTGATAAGGGTTTTTTAAAAAATATAATTTAGAATAAAAACTTTATATTTCAAGAAATATAGGAAAAAATAGTGTCTAAAATTCAATATCATTCGACTTGAAAATATATGATATGAATCAAATAATAAATATTCAATATTTAATCCTTCCACATAAATCCAATTAAATTTGGAATTAATTGTTGGAATTGAGATGCACGATATTTAGTATCGGCACCGATTCTCATTGAAAATCCTGATTCCTATATTATGATCATTTATGTAAATCGTTTTAGAATATTATGCCTGAATCGTTTTCCAACATGTTTGAATATCAAAAAAATTTATCGTGAACTTTTAAACTACCTTTAATTTATAATAATTTTTTATTAGATTTATATAACATTTTAAAATAAATAAACGAAAATTTATGACAAAATTATCTGAATTTTAATAGGGTAGGACTAGGAAGTAGTACTTTATGCATTCTGGAATATGATTCCCTTAAAATCAGATCTATCAAAAATTAAAAATGTTTTTAAACTTTTCCAAAAAACCCTCGTCTATTAAATCGTTAAATATTTGAATTATTTATAAAGTATTAAACATATGTTCCTCGTGAAACTTTTTATTTAAACTTTTGAATATGAATAATATCGTCTAATACAAATAATGCAATTATTCGATTTTGTTTTTGTGTAAGCTTAAGTTAAGTTTAATCTAGAATAACGACCTTTATGTAATTTTCATTAAATCACCTGCAACGATTTATACATATGAAATCATTTACTGAGAACTTTCTAACATATACGGAGTGAAGTACATGTTAATGTTTCATATTTACGAATCAAATATATATTTTTTATTATTCGATTTGTTTATACGAATATTAAATAATTTTATTCAACATATAAAAATATGATTGCCATAAATAATAAGAATTACTAATTACTTTTTTTTAGAGAACATTGAACGAAATATTTTAATGTTTGTTATAAAAATTATCAAATCATACATTTTACAGAAATTAGTGCATAAAGGTCACATATAAAAATAAATTGTATCCAAGTTACAAGAGATGGGCAGTTCTTAAAAAAAGGTATCTAGATTAGAGATCTGCAAAGTTAGTCTTGGCCCGAACGGGCTTCGGGCAGGGCTCGGGCCTAATTCTATTTAAACTAATCGGGTTCGGGCCGGGCCTAATATTTGTAAAAAAGTTTGAGTCGGGTCGGGATTAATATTTAAAAAAAAATTCGGGCCGAATCGGGTTGGACCTTGGAATTTTTTTTTAATATATCTAAATTTATCAATTTTATATTGGATTTTTTATGTAAAATAAAAATATTTTATTTTATTTATTTGAAATTAAACGACATATAACATATGTCTTTTATTTTGAGTAATTATGAAAATTAATTTCTATATTTAAATAAATTAGGGCCAGGCTGGGTGCGTAAATTTTTTTAAAAAAAATTTCTGGTTCAAGCCGGGCCGGCAAAACCTTTTTTAAAAAATTTCTATTTCGGGGCTGGCAAAACTTTTATAAAAAAAATTTCGGGCCGGGCTTGAAAAATTAGGCCCGATGCAGATCACTAATCTAGATGTAGATATAAGTATCTTATTAAAAATATTGAAAAGATATAAGATTTGCCAATAATGTTATCTAATCATATAAAGCTAATCATTCGTTCATGATTAGCATGAATAGCCATACGGTTGAATATAATTTAACAAAGCTGGGTAAGAACCTGAAAAAAAATCTCAAAACTAGAACCTAACACTGTTTAGCATCAACATTATAAATTTTACAAGCTTAAAAAAAAAGTTTAAAAGTAACTAAAAACATGATTAAACTCTATGAGAAATAAATTCTATTCCTTTACTCTCTGCTAGGGGTGGGACCAATACCAATATAATATTGGTTTACAATACCAATACCAATATAAACCAATATATAATTAAATATTGGTATTGTTTTTACAACCAATACCAATACCAATTACCTAAATATATTGGTTTTGAAATATTGTTTAAATACAATTTTAACCAATACCAATACCAATATTAAAAATTTAAAATAGATAAATACATAAAATTATTTGGTTTTATCGTGGATAATTATATCGTGGTATATTTTTTTACTTTCATTCATAAACATATTACATCTGTTATTTCTTCCAAATATTCCTGTGATATCAATATTGGTGTTATTTATAATTATAGTTTATTTTTATTATGGAAGTAAGTTTTCTATATGATATCTATCAATTTTATCTATTAATTCATTTAGGATATAATGAATGAAAACCAAATCGAGTTAATAAATATAGATAATGATGTTGATACTAATAATAATAGCGATAATGAACAAGAAGAATCAACGATATCTAATAAAAGACGAAATACAGCAAAAATCTGGGAATTTTATACTAGTTGTGATAACAAAAAAAAGGCTATTTGTAATAAATGTAAAAAAGAATTATCTATTCCCAATTTTGGAACCTCAGGATTATGGACACATCTTAAATCCATCCACCCAACTTTATAATAAATAATGGCAGTAAAAAAATTAACACCATAAAATCATTTTTAATTAATAATGTAAATAATAAAGCTAATTTAAATAATTTAATTATGGACTTTTTTATTCAAAATAATTTAGCCTTTTCAATGGTTGAAAATGAGTCATTTAAAAATTTAATAAGCTTTTGCAACCCCTCATTAACATTAATTTCTAGAAAAACACTTAAAAAAGAAATTATGAAACATTATCATAGTTCTTTTATCAATTTAAAATCTGTACTTTCTAACTTCTAAATTTTCTTTAACAATGGACATTTGGTCCTCTCCAAATAAAATACCCTTTATGGGCATAACCATTCATTATATTGATAATGATTTTAAATTAATTAATCATTTATTAGATTTTATTCCTTTTAAATCAGCACATAATGCTATTAATATTTATAATATTTTTAATTCTGTATTAAAAGTAAAATTTGAAATTGATTTTTTTTGTATTACATTAGATAATGCTAGTAATAATTTAGCATTTTTAAAAATTTTAAAACTAAAAGACAATTTTGATAATGTGTGCAAATGTTTTTGCCATATTATCCATTTATCTGTCATGGCTGCATTGGAACCTCTAAATCCAACTTTAAAAAAAATAAGAAATTTTTTAAAAATTTTTAAACTTTCTATATCTAAATTTAATAAGCTTGAAAAAACATATCTTGAAAAAAATCCAAATTTAAAATTTCCTCACCCTATTTTGGATATACCAATACGTTGAAATTCAACGTACCAAATGCTCGAAAGGGCTATATTGCTCAAACCTTATCTCACAATATATACCAATCATCAACAAAATACTAATGAAGAATATTATATTAGTGCCTTAGCTTGGAATAATATTGAAATATACCGAGAATTTTTAGAACCATTTAATTTTGCTACAGAGATGGCCTCATGTGCTAATACTCCATCAGTTTCAACAATCATTCCTTTATATTCCAGTATTTTTGAGCACGTTGAGAGTTATGATAATAATCCTAATGCTATTTTAAAGACAGCTTCATTAGCTGCCTTGACAAAACTTAATAAATACTATAATTTTAATAAACACCTATATATTATTTCAACAATGATTGACCCAAACTATCAAGTCACTTATTAAAGCATAATAGTATAGAAACTCTTATTGGATGTCTAACCAATGAATATAATATTTATAAAACAAATAATTACAATTCAGCTGAACCTACAAATGAAACACAAAATAACAAAAAATTATCCTTTTTTGACAAAATATATCAGGTTAAACCTAGTCACAACAATAATAACTTAGAAATTAGCAAATATGTGGATGAAGCCACAATTTATAATGATACAAATCCATTAGACTGGTGGAAATTAAATAAAAATAGATATCCAATATTATCAAAAATTGCCAGAGATTATCTTGCAATTCCAGCTTCTTCATCTAGCTCTGAAAGGGCTTTTTCAGAAGAAAGGTATCTTATAACAGATCAACGTTGTTCACTAGATGAGCATACTATCCAAGCTTGCATGTGCTTAAAAAGTTGGATGCGCATGAAGGATTCTTCTTAAATAGATAAACTTTTTTCTTTATATTACAATCTTTTGCACTATATTTTATATAAATAGACAATTATGATTTTTAGTGTATTCATTTTGCTATATTCTTTGTGCTAAATAAAAAGTTTCAAAATATACGT